TCCCTTTTCTTTCCATTTTCCCTCCTACTGCCTATAGGGCAAGTTAGATTTCTATACCTAACTGATTATATTATGCCCTTCTTGAGCCAAATCTGATGAAAGTAAGATTCAAACAATGCTCCCCCCCCCTTCTTTCCCTCTGCTGTAATAGGATTTTGTGTCTTTTCCTTGTCTGCCTCCTCCTTTCTCAGTACATTTTCTAAGATATATTGATCCACTTATTTGGATCCATTTAACCCACTTGATTAGATTTTTTTCTTATCTATTACATCAAAGTCAACTAATATCCACCCTCTTTATGTATACTCCTTTAACAAGGTGTAATAACAATACAGTTCTCAAGGGTTGCAAGTCTCATATTCCCTTGTAGGGGTTTAAACAGCCCCCCCCTTATTAACAACATATTGTATCCTTCTGTCCCATTTACCTTTTTAAGTCCTCTTGAGTCCTGTACTTGAAGATCAAATTTTTTGTTGAGCTCTGGTCTTTTTATCAGGAAAGTTTGGAAGTCTCCTATTTCATTGAATATCCACCTCCTCCCTTGAAAAATGATGCTCATTTTTGCTGGGTAATTGATCCTTGGCTGCATTCCAAGCTCCTTTGCCTTACAGAATATCATGTTCCATGCCCTGTGGTCTTTTAATGTAGAAGCTGCAAGGTCCTGTGTAATCCTGACTGTGGTTCCATGATATTTAAATTGTTTCTTTCTGGCTGCTTGCAGCACCTTCTCTTTCATCTGGTAATTTTGGAATTTTGCTATTATATTCCTTGGTGTTGTCAATTTGGGATCTCTTTCAGGTGGTGATCGGTGGATTCTTTCTATGGTTATTTTCCCTTCTGGTTCTAGGACTTCCAGGCAGTTTTCCTTTATGATTTCCTGAAAGATACTGTCCAGGCTCTTTTTTCATCATGATTTTCAGGTAGTCCAATAATTTTTAAATTGTCTCTCCTGAGTTGATTTTCCAGGTCGGTTGTTTTACTGATGAGGTATTTTACATTTTCATCATTTTTTCATTTTTTTGTTTCTGTTTGACTGATTCTTGCTCTCTCATAGAGACATTAGTTTCCATTTGTCCAATTCTAGTTTTTAACAGATTGTTTTCTTCTGTTAGTTTTTGTACTTCCTTCTTCAATTGGCCAATTGTGTTTTTTAGGGACTTGTTTTCTTCAGTGTATTTTTTTTTCCAATTGGCCAATTGTATTTTTGAAGGACTCTTTACCTCTCTCATTTGACTATTAAAATCCTTCTTGAGCTCTTCTAAGAAGGCTTTTTGGGCTTCAGACCAGTTCATATTCCCTTTTGTTGTTGCAGATGTGGGTTTGTTGACAATGTTGTCCTCTTCAGAATTTCTGTCTTGATCTTCACTCTTCTCATAATATGAATCTATGGTACGTTTCTTTTTACTCATGGTGTTTCTTTATTCCCTGGCCTTTAAAGAGATTGAGCTCTCCTGCTGGGGAACAGAGGGTACTGACCCAAGCTTCTTGTGTTGGGAGCCTAGGTCTTGGTCACTGGCTTTGAGTGCTGGGGCTTCTTATGCTGGCAATTGGAGGCTGCAGGTTTCTGGCAGCTTACCTCATGTTGGGCTGGAATCAGCAAGGCTGGAACTTTCAGGCAATTCTAGATTGCCTGCTTTCCTTTCCTTTAGCTTTCTTCAGCTCCTTTTAGATGGGTGCTGCAGGGTGTTTATCTGCCTGGGGCGCCCTGCAGTGTTGTCTCCCTCATTTCTGCAACTGTGCTGGGAGACTCCTTTGCGGTGGAGTGCCAAGGCACCTGGTGGTTTTCTGAGCTGGTTTCCACCAGTTCCCCCTGCCCTCACTGAGGCACTCGGAGGCCCAGGTGTTGGTGTTTGCCTGCTCTACCACCTGGGCTTCAGGATTTCTTCACAATTGGAGGCTGCAGGGCTCCAACCGCTCACCTGGTGTTGGGTTGGAATCAGCAAGGCCGGAGCATTAGGAAGCCTTTAGCTTGTTTTCTTCACCTCCTTTCAGATGAATGCTGCAGGGTACTTGTCTGCCTGGGGCCCCTTGTAGTTCTGCCTCCCTTATTTTTGCTGAGGCACTGGGAGACCCATTTGCTGGGCTGTTGCACTGCTGCTCCCTGTCTTTCTTCTAGTTCAGGTGTTCCAGGGTTTTTTTTTTCTGGGGTAATATTTTCTGGGTTTTCAGAGGTTGATAGGGGAGAGTGAGAGCAACTACCTTTCCACTCTGCCATCTTGACTCCCAGAAGCATAAACTAAACCATCATATCATCAACAGAGTTAGTTTTATTTCCTCTTTACCTATCTTTATTCTTTTAATTCCTTTCTTTTATCTTACTGCTATTGCTAGCATTTCCAGAACTATATAGAAAAATAATGGGGAGAGTAGGCACCCTTGCTTCACTCTTATACTGGAAAAAGCTTTAGTGTATCACCATTGCATATGACCCTTGCTTTTGGTTTTAGATTCCTTTTATGATATTAAAAAAGTCCCTCTATGCTTATACTTTGTAGTGTTTTTAGCATTAAAGGGTATTCTATTTTGTCAAAGGTTTTTTCTGCATCTATTGAGATGATTGCCTGGTTTTGAGTGATTTGGTTTTTACTATATTATTTTCCTAATGTTGAACCATCCTCACATCCCTGGTATAAATCCCACCTGATCATGATGAACGATTTCTTGGATAAATCACTGGACTCTGATGGGATTTTGTTTAAAAATCTTGAGTCAATGTTCACAAATGATATTGACCTATAGTTTTCTTCCCATGTTTTAGCCTTCTTTGGTATAGGTATTAGAGCTATGTTTATCTCATAAAAGAATTCCGGTAGGATTCTTTCCTCAATTTTCATGATTAATTTGTGAGGAATGCGTAGTAACTATTCTTTAAACATTTAATAGAATTCTCCTGTGAATCCAACAGATGCAGATGTTTTTGCCTTTTCTTTTGGTAGTTCCTTCACTGCTAGTTTTATTTCTTTTTCTGAGATGCATTAAAAATCCATTTTTCCCCATAAGATTATACTGTTTTGCTTGGTAACTTATTCTTGGTTGCAAGCCCTTGCCTTTTGAAATAACATATTTCAAACTCTTTTATAGTGATGGCTACTAAAACATGTGTGATCCTAACTGGCACTTCAGTACTTAAATTCTTACTTTCTGGCTGCTTGCAGTATTTTTTCTTTGACCTGTATTTGGGCTATAATATACCTTGGAGTTTTCATTTTCGGGTTTCTTTCAGGAGAATGGTGTATTCTATTTCTCCTTTGCCCTCTAATTCTAAGAGATCTGGATTGTCTTCTTTTATGATTTCTCGAAATATGATGTCTAGGGCTTTTTTGGGGGGAAGGGGGAGAGAATGGCCTTCACTTGTTCCAATGATTTTTACATTTTCTCTCCTTGACCTGTTTCCCAGTCGATTTTGCAATGAGATACCTTGCATTTTCTTCTATGTTCTAAGTCTTTTGCCTATTTTAAAATTATTTTTGCTAGAAAGTTTTCCTATGAGAATGTGAGCTCTTTGAGAGCTAGGACAATGGTTTTGTCCTTTTTCTGTACTCCATCATTTAGCATAGCATCTGGAATATAGTCAACTTATATTGTGCCAAAATTTGCCTCCCCATCACTTCCACCCATCATACAGCTAGGGGGTGCAGGGCATAGTGTTAGACTTGAGTAAGACCCAAGTTCAAATCCTGCCTTAGACACTAGCTGTGTGCCCTGGGAGAAGTGTCACTGAACCTCTTAGCCTCAGTTTCTTCATCGGTAAAAATGAAAATTAAAATAGCACCTATCTTACAAGGCTGTGGTGAGGATTAAGTGAGACAATGTTTGTGAAGCACTTTGCAACCCTTAGAGTGCCTTATAAAAGCTAGATATTATCAGTTTTTGTTCTGCCTTCTTCAGCAAAGCATAATAAAATTAATCTCTTTCACATAACTTTTCATAGTTGATTTCTATCATGTCCCTACTGTCTTCTTTTCTCCAAGCTAAACAGTTCCTTCAACTGATTCTAATTTTGCACGGCTCAAGGTTCTTTATTATCCATGGTCACCCAGCCCAAGACCTGTTCCAACTTGTCAACATCCATTCTAAAATGAGTTCCCCAGACCCAGCCAGCATATGCCAGACAGACTGACCAAAGCTAAAAACACATCGTGACTTTCACCTCCCTCTTCTAGACACTTAGCTTCTATTAATAAAGCCTAACAACTGAACTAGCTCATTACATTGTCTCTATTAAATTTCACTGTTTGCTTAGCCTGTTTCCCTAGGTCTGTTTAGCTTCCAATTGTTATCCAATGGATTAGCTATTTGTTCCTGCTTTCTGTTACCCACAGATTAGGGAAGCAAGCCTGTTTTATATCTTTCTCCAAGTCAGTAATTACAACACTGAACAAGACAGTGCCAAAGGCAGAACCTTGTGGCATCCCATTACAGACTTCCTTCTAGGTTGTCATAATAACCATTCTTTGGATCAGGTCATTCGATCATTTCTCTGACTCCCCCTACTATCTAGTCCACAATTTCCATCTTGGGCAAAAGGATATTAAAGGTTGGACTACTAGACCTACTTTGATACAATGTCTGCTCAGGAAATATTTGTTGAAAAAAATGAGCAAAGTTATCATCTCATTTTTAATAGCCAATGGCTTCTAAAATGTAGAGAATGTTCTTTTTTTGGGAACGAATTCTAAGTTGAGAACAAGGGAATTAAGAGAAAAATCATCTTGTCTTTCTTTTCTAATCTATAAGTAAATAGGAAGAAGAAGATGCAAATTAGCTTCATAACCTAATATTTCAAGTTTTATATACTGCCTGACATAGTGTATATACATTTTTAAATCTGCATTTATAATAAAAGGAGTTTAAAACTCATATATTTTGTTTAAATTATTAAATATATTTATTGATAAAAGAAAATATCCAGAATAGATCTTTATGCTTTGAACAATAAAACAATGTAAATGTTTGATATATCTGGTAATATCTGGTAAATACATGGCAAAAGTTATCACTCAAATCTCCCAATGTCTTTAATAAAAGCAGTATTCATTTGTTTTGTTAAATGAAATAACCAAATCATAATTCATTTTCTGATGCAGCTGGAAAATTGCTCATATATTCTCTTACACACACACACACATAAGAGGTAGCCAGGAAGACCTAGACTCAAGTCCTACCTCTTGCACATGCTGGATGTGACCTCTCAGAACCCTAGGCAACCCTAAGACTACAGATTACAGAAGGTGTTTGCCTGCATTGGTAAAGGAACATTTCCTCATTTTTTTCAGTTCCCTATGCTAGTAAAATCACAAGTTCTATCCCTATCCTGATTATTTTTGGAAAAAAAAGAGATTAGATCTGTGATTTCACCAGTATAGGGAGCTCCAAAGTAAGAAAACACTCTCTGTCAATGCAGGTGGGCACCTTCTCTACAAACTATAGTCTCAGACTATTACCTAGGAGGCAACTTGCCCAATATCACACAGCCAGTATGGCTCAGTCAGACTTGAGTCCAGGTGTTCCTATTTCTGGGGCCAGCTCTCCATCTACTATGTAGTAACAATAACAACAACAACCACAACAATAACATTTATCGGGTGCTTTAAGGTTTGGAAAGTACTTCACATACACCATCTCATTCAAATCTAATAATAATCCTGGTGTTATTAATATCCTCACTTTACAGATGATAAAACTGAGTCAGATATACTCCTCAAAATATATTGTTGCTTTAAAATTTACACCAACTTCTAAAAATGAAAACTCTGAATTATGAAGATGTATTACAGTGTATTCAGTAATAACTATATACTTTGTAGGGAAAAACTGACGTAATTAAGTATAACAAATCAGATCCATCCAAATTTGACATGTGCCACCTACCAATACTCTAATGTCATTAATTTTTTAGGCAAAACAATCTGTAGTTATTAGGTTTTATTTTTTAAAATCATTTAAATTTAAAGTTACAGTGACTAAGAAAAATCAAAATCTCATGGCACATGACTTTTCATTATTAGTTTTAAAATATTATCAAACAAAACCAAGAAGCTTTACATTTCTGAGAAAATAGAGGCTTAAATAATATTTTCCAGAATGCCTGGTTTATATAGATGATTCTTTCTTACAGAATTCAAAACATGTAATTTCTAAATCATTGATTTATTCCTGGGAAAAAAAACCCTTGATGGTCATTTAGTCCAACCCCTCTTGAGGAAACTGAGGCCCAGAGAAATCAAGTGGCTTGCCCAAAGTTAAAGTGGCAGATGAATGATTTATCAAATATCATGAAACACATTACTTCATTTATCCTCACAACATACCTATGACAGAAGTAGGTTTCATACATCGTTATATCTGTTTTAAATGGTGAACCTGAGGCCTAGAGAGGCCACTCAACAAGAGCTCAAAATACATTTAGATTCATTGAATGAGTATACTCACTAACATTTTTAAAAGAGAGTCTGGCTGACAACAAAACCCAGTACACTTTTTAAAATAACACAAAGGTAGTGAATTTTTATTGCACCATTATATTAAAAATGTCTGAACTTTTAAGGCCCCTAATTTGTATTCTTTAGTTAAAAACCCATAAGAGAACTTCCTACAATTCTATTACATCCTGAAAAGTCCAAAGTTGGTCTTCTCGATTGGGGCATTGAGGGCTGCACTAATACTAAGACCCAGGACCAGTCTGGTATCAGCTGGATCAATAATTCCATCATCCCACAGCCTGAAAGAGAAGAAATCATACATGACAAATAAGAATATCACCAAAGCTATTATCGATATATAATACTAAAGGGATGATTTTCCTGCCCTCACTCACCAACATCACCTCATTGGTCAGCATCTGTGTGGCATACTCCCTGTCTACATAAGCAGTTTTAAGTAAAACATCAAAAATTTTGAACCATATTCCTAGGAGAACATTTCCTTTTTTAAGAATTAAATGTTCTGGGGCAGCTGGGTGGTGCAGTGGATAGAGCACCGACCCTGAAGTCAGGAGGAACTCAGTTCAAATCTGGCCTCAGACCAAACACTCGACACTTACTAGCTGTGTGACCCTGGGCAAGTCACTTAACCCCAATTGCCAAAAATAAAAAATAAAAAGAATTTAATGTTCTATTAACACAAGCCAACTAGACTTGCTTAATAACAACTTACATTTAAATTCATTTCAATGCATAAAGTATCATAACACTTTTTCAGTTTGTCCCCCTATGTCTGCGTGAGGATTCTCTATCCATTCATTCTCATTTGCCTTTACTCATATAATTGTAGTTAAGTGTATTCTGTGTTCTTCTGTGATTTTTTTAAAGTCTGAATTATTTATAAAGATTCTTCCACAGTTCTTTGCAAACTATATACTTGGTCACTTTAATTAGTTTACAATATTCCATTATATTAATGTACCACAATTTCTTTAACCACTACCCACTGTTCAGTGAAAGTTACAAAAGCAGACCTATGCTTTGACGCAATAATTCCCTTGTTAGGAATTTTTTAAAGCCCTCTGTTCAAAATTCATCATAGTAGCACTACATGTAATTGGGGAAAAAAAGGAAACAACCTATTCCTGGAGTCTTCTGCAGATGGATAAATAAAGAAATACATGTTAAGTATCTCAATCCAAGCCACCAAAGAAATTAATACCAAGTACGAGGCATAGAAACTACTCACTACAATAGTTCTCAAAATACTCTGCCCAAAGCCTTCATTTTCAAAAAGGCAGCTATCTGCAGGTAACCTAAGTGGATGCATTCAAACTCACGTGATCTTGCTGGGGACACACACAAACAAGTCTGGCAAATACATTTAGCCAAATATTAGTCTGAGAAGTTGTCTATCATCAGGTACTGGGCTAGTATTGTTTAGAGTAGGGGTTCTTAACAGTTCTATGATAGGGTTAAAAAAAAACACTTTCCATTTAAGTGACAACTGATAGGAATAAGTGGAGTTTGAATAGGTCACGAGACTTTTATCCCCCAAATTGAAAAGCTTCTCATTTTAAGGGCTTATTATTCTCGCAAGTTTTAGTGGCCTTAGCTTAGTTACCAATTCCAAAAGGTAAGTGTTTCTAGACAAAAATAATTTAAAACTAACATTTTTATGGGCTGCCTACCAAAAAGTCACACCAATCAAACAGCTGACTATAGTTCAATAAGGCTAAGTCTAAAGGCCAAAGGTCAGGTTATAGAATTGGTACCTAAAACCAAAGAGGGAATTAGATAACAGCAACACAAGAAGATAAGGGGGGAACCTCTGAGGATTTACTGTAATCTATTTGTACTTTTGCTCCCTTGATATTGCTGTTAGACTTCATAATTTTTAAGCACACACACAAAAAAATTTGTTCTTTAAATCTACTTGCTGTAGGGTGAGCTTTTATCCTCTACCTCTCCCTTTTCCTAACTGATGGGATATGCTACTTATCACTACACTAAGAGGAAGTAAACTAAATATAACACAGGAAAAGTAAGAATAAACAAGAAAAGGAAAGAAATAATGCATTCTGTTTCACCTCAGACTTCAGTCCTGAATCTCACTTAGAAGGAAGACAATCAAGGAAGGGAGCCAGAAATGCTTCCTTTACCGCATTCATTGGACTTAAAGTCAGGAAAAGGACATTAAAAAGGGACGAAAAATGAAGCTTAGACAAAACTTCATATTTCATGCAGTTAAATATAATGACTGAAATTCTAGAAAGGAAATATTTATTTAAAGGAAATTTAAATTTAAAGGAAATGAATTTTAAAAGGAAATACATTCAATATATTAAACAGTTCAATCTGCTAGGGAAGGAAAAAGAAAAAGACATCAAATTAGATTTTTAGACAAACGCGTAAGTACATATAATATACGTGGATATCTACCATTTAACAAATATTTATTAAACACCATGTGAGATGAGGGTATGTGTGTGTGTGTATATATCTATATCTATCTATATATATATATATATCACACATAGTATGTATTTAATAAATATTTGTTGAATGAATAATTGAATAGACTGCTTTTCTACTTGTACGTATTCTTTAGGTGTATGCAAAAAAATTACACAATATATTTACACATAGTATAATTGCACATATATTTCTATATGTGCATGTATATGTGCACGTATGTACATGTGCACATATGAACGATGTATAGAACCTAAGACAATGCCTTCATATAGTCCTTCAGTCATTTTTCAGTTGTGTCCAACTCTTTCTGACCCCATTTGTGGTTCTTGGCAAACATACTAGAGTGGTTTACCATTTCCTTCTCCAGCTCATTCTACAGATGAGGAATTGAGGCAAAAAGGATCAAGTGCCTTGCCCAGGGTCACACAGCTAGTAAGTGTCAGAGGCCAGATTTGAACTCAGGAATAGAAGTCTTCCTGACTCCATGCCTGGCACGCTCTCCACTGCACCACATAGCTGCCCTGCCCTTCATATAATAGACACTCAATAAACGTTTTTATATAATGATGCACACAGAACACTTAAAGGAGAAACTACAGGGGACTGGGAAAGGAGGTCTGATGCAGATCTGTGCTGGTGAACAGATGAATAACCGATGAAAATCAAACTTAGTGCCACAGTAATCTACAGCTATTGATGAAAAGATAATCAAAACTGGGACTCTAATGCTACTGCTAAGTCCCACTGTTAGTAACTTCACTTTGAGATTACCTCCAATTTACCCTGCATATACCTCGTGTGTACATAGTTGTCTGCATATTGTCTCTCCCATTAGACTGTGAGCTCCTTGAGGGCAAACACTGCTTTTGCCTTTCTTTGTAACTTCATGTTCCCAGGACAGTGCTGAGTGCTTGATAAATGCTTGCTGATGATTAACTGAAACTGGCTAAAGTGAAGATCTGCCAGAGTGATAACCACTTTTGGAAGATGATCTCTGCTTTGTTTACTGAAGGCCTTAGGACTAGACTCATACTTCAATTCTTATCAAAGTAATCTTTAGATTCTATGCCAGAGCATAATCTTAGTGCTTTAGGTTCTATTCCCTTGATTTTATTTGTATAAAACTAAATAATACAGGCAAATGTCCAGAAAAATACTCACCTGTCCTTGCATTCATTCCACAGGATTGTTCAGATAAGAAGGGAAGCTTGAGTCTACTCCTATGGCAAAACCTATTTGACCATTTTCATGATCCCTCACACATATTTATAACATGCGAGATACCAAATAGATCTATCTATACTTTAATTACAAAATAATTTAAACTGTTGGTCCATTATGAAATTCTTAATACTAGAGAGAAAGTTCTTCATAACTTTTGACACTATTTTAAAGGACCTTTTTTTTAAAAGAGACAATCTGCTTTTCATTACCAAGCTCTGAGGTCTAGCACTAAGATGGGGAAATATTGCTTTTTAAAGGTTATTAGTGGGTGACAGTTTTCCTCTTATTTAAACAAACTTCCTTCAGTATCAGACCACAGCATCAATTATTAATTCACCTATTACAGTTCAATTGACAGAACATGAATCAAATCCAGGCTTATAAAACATTCATAAGTGGGGTTTCTAAAGTAACAACTGCAAATAGAAGAAAACTTCCTACATAATTTGTTAGAATGTAATTGATTAAACTCCCCCTTTGAAATAAGCAAATTAAAATGGCACAAAGAGAACAGGGCTGATTAATGGTGTTCATTAATAAACACTGCTCCAGGTAAGAATTTCTAATAAGACACTTGATTAAAGTTTGATTAGAAAAAAGACAACTGACATCCCACTTGAATAACCTATTAGAATTGAGGAGAATTAAGTAAATATGCTATGATAACAGATAAGCAAAGAGCTTTCTGAAAGATGAGGACCAACTAATCAAGATTAGGTTCCTGGTCAACCTAAGTCTAAACAGGACAGGGAACTGATATGCTCAGGCCTCAGAAGGCCTGAGGTAGAAAAACTTTTTACTATTAGTTTCTGCAGGAAAAGAAAGTTTATCAAAGCACTGTTCCCCTCTCACATCCTAATTCACCAGGTCTTGGGCACCTAGTGATGCTTGACCCAATGACAGATTGATCTTACTGTCTTTTGGGTGACTATTTCCAGAGAAATCTCTGAAATATTTTTATTCCCTTTCTCTTGATGTAATCCATTTTTAAAAAAACAAAGATTAATCTGTCTTAAAGAATTACAGTCACGCAATTCCAAAGAACTTATGATGAAAAATGTCACCCACCCCAAAGAACTAATGGAGTCTGAATGAAGATCTAAGCACACTTTTAAAAAAAATTTATTATGCTTGTTTTTTTGGTCTGTGTTTTCTTTCACAACATGGCTAATATGAAAATGTTTCGCATGACTGCACATGTATAAACTATATCAAATTGCTTGCCTTCTCAAGGAGAGGATGGAGGAAGAGAGGGAGAAAATATGAAACTCAAAACTTTTTTAAAATGAATGTTAAAATTTTTTGTTTACATGTAACTTGAGAAAAATAAAATTAAAATTAAATGTAAAAAGAAAAAGAATTACCATCATGCTTAAATTCTTTAGAAGCAATATTTAGATTCTGTGTTAAAAAACTGCTTATTTCAAAGGGGATGACTCCAAGAGACAGTAGGACATGTAAGAGAAATGCAAATTAGGCAATGTTTTCTCACAAAAATGTATCTCAACTGTATCTATCAATCCACCCACAATCACTCGAGTAAATTACTGTAGTTAAGTGGCTATATAATGTATGTTTTATCTTAAGTCAGAACCCA